ACTCTCTCTCTCTCTCTCTCTCTCTCTCTCTCTCTCTCTCTCTCTCTCTCTCAGACTTTGTTAACCAAGTCTTCTGCATCAAAGACTGCAATCCTTCCCTACCAAATTGTGCAGTCCACTTCACGAGCAGCAGCGATGAACCCACGCCAACGCCAACGCCAGGGCTCATCTGAAATCACGGGATGCCCATGGAGACGACGGGGCATGTCATGCGTGAGCTGTAGCCACAATAACGTGCGATGACATTTATGACCACCATAAATGACATCTCCCACCATACCACACTAATTCTTGCACCTAACAATGTGGCGTATTGATTTACGACTCAGCGGCTGACCGGTAAACCAACGTAGTCCTTCGATCACAGGTGAATTGATGATGGACACGTACTGACTGCATGTGATGTTAGCATCTCACTACAGGCGAAAATACTGTGTGTTGTGCAGAAAAATAATCTGTTTTTGGCATTGGAGATGTCCATATTAGCATTGCACCGACATTTATGGGATCATATGTTGGTGTGTATGTGCATCACTTAATTCACTGTTTACACGATAGTAAGGGAGATTTCGGCTCCAAAATCGTCGATTTACGTTCGGTCAAATTTAGAATCGAAACTGTCGATTTAGTTCTCGTTATTCATCAATTTTGATTGATTAAAAAATTAAATTAATTCATCAAGATTTAAACCCAAATCATTATATCATAGAATCTATTTTATATTTTATATTTATTTTTTAAAAAATATTAGTATAAATGATGTCAATATGGTGTCAGACATACGTATACATCTGCGACCAATTCCGACACAGCTAATTTTGATGGCAACAGTTCCACGAATGCATAAACCCACCCACTAAGCACGCTTGCCAACACTGAGCCTGTTTATTTGACTGCTATCTCCTGTGGAGTCAGAGAGCCACTATGCGACTTCTTCTGTCTACACTGCCTTTGCGTTCCAACCACAATGGAGGATCAGAGATCGTGGAGGAGGTGTACTTTTGCTTCGAAAGATACGGCCATGCAAAGTTCACTGAACCCTTTGCTCAGAGAAAGAGAATAAAAAATGGTTTAGAAATCATTCGGTCAATGGCTCGGTTGGTGGTGGAAGTCATCTTTAGCTTAAAAGAAAAAGAAGGACAAGAAAAGGGTAAAAATAGAGAGATGAAAAGAGGTTAACAATGGAGCACAAAGATTAAACGGTGGCCGACCTCTCTTTCTTTTCTAGAAGACGAACTTGTATATATATGTACTTTCTCGATCAAAGCAAGGAACCCTAAAAGACATTCCCGTGTTACTTTGGGTGCTCTCGTCGTCGTGATGTTAGTATATTTCTATGTTAGTATAGTGCATCTCTTGTCCTTCAATATAAGATTTCCATCACACATCATCTCTGATAGAGTTAGCCAATCAGTTACTCGTTTTATTTTCCTCCTTATAAATTACTAATAGATTGAAAAAATAATCAAAAGATCTGTCGATAAGTACTTAATTAGCCAAAGACATCTTCTTGCATTTTAAAGACCCAACAAGAGAGAAATCATCAAGTCGCGTATTCTAATCTTCTATCTTTAATAAAGTTGGCTAACCAATTCTTTTTTCTCTCTAAAAATAACTAAGATGTAAAAAATAATAATTGATAGAGTTTTATCAATATATGCAGTTTTATTGATTTTGTTAAAACATATATTGAATCTTTTACTATCACCTTAAACTTTTACGATTATTTATCACTCAATCATATTTAATACGGCATCATCGGAGTAACTTTAAGTTTGAATCTTATTAGTCATGATATTATATATACATGTATATATATATATATATGTATATATATATATATATATGAATATATATACCTACAAAGAAGTGATCGAAAGACGTGCCAAACCCTACCTTGCTTTAGGTTGCATGTCGGACACAACATGCAAGACTCATAGAAGAGTTGTAGAATTAGGTCGGATCACAACACACTCCTTCCGGACCGTAACCGGTCGAGATTAAATTATGTGGAGTCAACCACTTAAAGAACATAGATTAGTTGGTCTTCGTGACATTAGTGGTAACCAACATAAATACCAAGTCTCTTTTTGGGATTTGATATCCCATGACAAGTTTCTTACTATATAATAATACTCGTTTATATCTAATCTCATGAGAATGGAGTTAATAATTTTAATTATAAAAATATTTATATGTATATAAAAGATGACGAGAGATTAACTAAGAGGATGATTTCATATTTTTACTAAGGATTAAAAGAGATTACATATATTATATTTGGTTTATAATGTAGAACTTTAATCTTTGAATTAAATTAATATCAAACATGATATATATTAACATAACTAGTTTGAGTCATATAAAATTTATCCATAAAGAAAATGCCAAAGTTTTCTATAGGCCAATCTAACCTATTATATCAATATTTAAGCCTCTTAGTCTCGTCTTCTTGTTTTGGCTTATGGAAGAACCCATCGCTTCTCGATATAAGTCACCTGCTAATATAGAATAAGTAGAAGAAAACTATTTTCAAAGAACATAAAGTTATCCACTTATCACTTATATTTATCTCATATTATCAAATTTTTATATATCTTTTAATTATTTTAGTTAGTTTTTAAAACCTAAAACTAGTATAAATAAAGTTCTCCTATAAACTTATAAAATCATCAAAAGTAATATCTTCCAAATATTATAAAGATCTTCTTTATAAGGAGTTGATTTTTCTCGTCATCCCTTATAAGATTAGTTTCTTAGAATTATTTATAATAATATATTTTTTTATTTTATTTTTGTTCTACATCAATTGGTATAAGGGCTTTACTCTTGATATTAGTATAATAAATTTATGGTTAAAAAATTAAGAATTATACTCTACACTCACCACTTATCGTGGATATTGTGTATAAGAAATTTATTTTACTAATTACTGTTGAATCTCGTATTTTGATGATGAAATCACTTGATATGTGTTTATGTTTTAATCTGCATTTTGAGTGATACAAGATGCTTCGATCAGGATGAGACAATTAAAGCATGAAAAATCATGTTGTGCCGGAGGAACATGTTAGAAGATTGGACGTCGGGCCGGTGGATCGGTCAACGTATCGACAGAAGGCTTCAGGCCGTGGACTCGGGCATCGGGCCAAGAAAAGCGGGTATTGTGCCAAGGATATCGAAGTTGCGGAGTCAACTAGACGATTGGGCAATAAGCCGCAGGAGAAGACGATGCGTCGAAGAATCGGACGAAGTGTCAAGAGACCAATGACATGCTGGACAACTTGGTTAATTGCTTAGGATTAATTGTCTCGATCGAAGTTTTGTTTTACATGTGCAGGATTAACTACGATGGAAGTAAGACATGCAGCAGGAGTTACGCCGGAGTCAATACTATGATCACGTTGGGAGTTTGAGAGTTCGATGGAAGTTCGGATGATCGTCGGAGGTTCTACGGGAACAAATTCGAGAAGTCCAGGAGCTTGCCAAAGAAGCTCGTTGAAACTCGCCAAGTGGATCGTCGCAAGTCCAGGAGTTTGCCGGAAGTCCGCATGAGCATCACCGAGGGTTCATCGGATGATCGACGGAAGTTCGCCGGAAGCTCGCCAGAAAAAGCGATTGACGCACCGGAGCAAGTTACAGTAAATGTCTTAAGAAATGTCATAGTTAGTATGTAGATTAAGTTAGGAATGGGAGGTGATCCCATTAACTTAATATGGGAGCAATTGGGCCCTTAACAGACCCAAATTTGGCCCTTGACAGACCCAAATTGGGCCGAATGGATCAACCCATTCGGACTAGAATTCCTGCTAGGCGATGGCACCGCCCAGGAGAGGGTCTCCTAGGAAAGCTGGGTGGTGCAACCGCCCCAGGCAGGCGGTGGCACCGCCTGGGCTCAGTCTCCGAGCAAGACTGGGCGGTGCAACTGCCCCTGACAAGCGGTGGAACCGCTTAAGCTCGGTCTCCGAGCTCTGCCAGG